AGAGAGAGAGAGAGAGAGAGGGGGAGAGGGGGGGGGGAGTTGGCAATTAAAAATTCAATGATATACACGGCTGTAATACCTGTGCACAATATTTTATGACGACGGAATGCACATGCACACCTCAAATAACTTCTAGCCGAGAACGTAATCTATGATTTTGCACAAGGATTATGTAAGATCGTCAATAAATCTTGAGACGCGGCATTAATGCAAAAATGACAGCCGAGTTTTCAGTCTAGCACATGTAAAACTAGAAACGGAAGAGCGTATACGGCAATACTGCCTACAGCATGCTGCGCACATTTTGTCTGGTGTTTCTTGTGCAATATGTTAGCTTGTTACGTGATGTGCTAACTACTACAGTACTGCGGATTTTCCAATCACATGTGATTCCAGAGACTACTTTAATTACACTGAAAGCAACCGCAGAAACCAAATGTTCCCTCATGAAATCAAACAGAGTGCAATAGCCTTGCATAACTTTAGGCTAGTACGTATATTATGACATAATTCTAATTCATTCTGTTTCATTAATCCCTACGTGCAAACTTTAGTGGTACACGTACAGTACATATAAGGAACCATATCTGAGTGGCCCTAGCTCATTCCAAATATTTCAACGCACGCCAACGCAATAAAATGCAATGTTTTATCACGAAGTACTAATCATATCGAATTCCTCGTCGGCGGTTAATGCAAGATGGGGAACTGTAAACTGCTGTTACACACTATTGCTTGCAGAGAGCTGCTTGTACTCATGCTGCTTTCTATAGACATCTATACATATAATTCTACGCGCATTCATCCAGACCGAGACCCTAACCATGAACGTCGTTTCACTGCCGGGCTGCAGTATGTGGCTACCAACTGTCATTTCGCTTTGCTGTTGAACTGGGGTTTGTATCCGTGAAATCACTCGAGAGCCTGGTAATGAAAAGGAAACCTCCTGCACTAAACTAACCAATCTGCCTCCAGACTTGAACACACTGTCATAACGGTTAAATTAATCAGCCTGCCCATCTCTCCGTCTCACTATACAATCCCCCTCTCGCTGTCTCTCTCTCTCTCTTCTCATCCTTTTTTTTCTTGCTCCTCCATCACACACGACACCAGATTTGATTCATATCAGGACGACAGGTGCATGATTCTGTATATTCATACATTCACTTCGCACTCGTTGTCATGTAGCCGGCGTCACCTGTCAACGACAACACCACATGACACACATGTACACGCACCCACCCACGCACTCACGAACACATGCAGGCACGCACACATACATACTCACACACACACACGCACGCACGCACGCACACACGCACACACGCACACATGCAGGCACGCACACATACATACTCACACACACACACACACATCACAACACACACACACACACACCACACCCACACACACCGGATCACGAACACAGCAGGCCACACATACATACTCGACAACCACGCACACGCGACTGCGCGCATTCACGCCACACATGCAAGGCACGCAACAACATGACATACTAACACACACACGCAACGCGACGCACCACCACACGCACGTCACGAACACGATGCAGGCAACGCGACACATACATACTCACACACACACGCACGCACGCACGCACACACCTACACACCTACACACGTAGCCCTCTCGCTATACGCCCGGGTCGAAAATAAACGAACTCGAACGGCAGAGAGAGAAGAGAGAGAGGAGAGAGAGAGAGAGAGAGAGCGAGATGGAAAGAGGGAGGGGAAGGAGAGAGGGATGGAGGGGAAGGAAAAAGGGAGTACGGGATAGAGGCAGGGAGGGAGAGAGATAAATCGCGCTCAGCCTGCGACGACGTGCATCTGAGAGAACCTTAAGTTAGTAGCCTCAAGCGTCTCTCACTGACTGCACATTGACCTGTCCGACGCATATATATATATATACACTAGCGTCACAGCCGGACGCGTTGCTTGGTCGAGCATGGTCACAGATTCTTGCAGCTCATTCATACCCGCTGTCGCGTTAACGTCACGTGTAATCAAGTCACGTAGCTGCTTGAGACGTGGTCTCTAGCTAATCTCCCCCACCCACCACCTCACCCAATGCATTCTTTAAAATGGAACAAATCCTAAAAAGAACTAGTCCATGCTCGAACAAAAACGTTTGCAGGAGTTTCTTCGCAGTTGTGAGACGGGTACTACCAGGATACATTACAAATACATGAGACAATGTTCAATACGCGAAAACATGGCACTGGTCACCTACAAACACAATATTTATGCTGTTATCACACATATATTATATTATTTTTAATATATCAGATATGAGGCCTTAGTGATCTCAGATCAGAATAGGACATAAATCTAACTGGACATGCCGGTGGCCTGGCGTGTCTGTAACTTTAATAGCACAACAGTGTGTGGCCAGTGCCGGACAGTGCAAATACACTGACCACATGTTCCACAAACACTCCGTAATTGCACCATGTCCACTCAGCTGTAGACTCAACACCCGCTACACTATGGAGGCCATGCGGAGACGCACAAAGGCTATTCTCAGTTTTAACTCGCTACTACATATATATAGCTGTGTGTGCGCACACACTTGTCATGTGTCCGTCCGTTCCGCTGCCTCGCTGATGACCCTACACTTGTGTCCTTGACCATCACGCCCGAGTCGCTCATGAATACAGCCGTTAAAGAAGAAATCCCGCCATTCTAGAGGTCCTGTGAGCCTCCGCCAACCGACACTCCGACAAACGCGTTTCCTTGATCTACAGATAGCCGCCATCATATGTATAGCTTTGCAACACGTTCACGTGGCAGCCTCTCTGGATGGTGCGAAACTAAAGAGGTTCAGAGTCTCTCGTGTGAAACTAAACTGCCCTGAGCCAGACGCGTTAATTCCACCTTTGAGCCGCTGCCAGCGGAAGGAAGTTCATTGTGAATTTTATGACCGTGTCCTTCAGTATGTGCCGAGATGAACAAGCACGCACGCACGCACGCACGCACACACACACGCACACACACACAGCCACACACGCACGCACACGCAGCACAGTCGTTTTAAAATAGGTTTTCAGTCGTCTTGCATTCCGTCCGTACAAAAGCTGCAGCCACAGGTAAATTATATGCTACATGCCCATCACGCTCACTATTTCCCGCAGAAACCATGTGTCACTTATGTGCGACAAAATTGGGAAAGTCATTCACTAAAGACTTGTAAGGGAGTGATTAGTTTAAATTTCTCCATCTTACGCATCGAAGGCCATCTACAGACAGCAGAGATGACAGCGATATGTTTTAATATCATATATGCAGTCCTGAGTGAATAATAGAGCTTTTATTAATATTATTATTATTATGTATTAATTACTCTGTTATTCACTCCTGATATATATGTCAATCTTACTCATTCGAGCACTCCTGCACTGTGCGCGGCCCTATATCACTGTGACATGAAATAGATAATCGAAACGTATAATATAAATATAAATAATATATAATATATTAGTGTAACCGTGCAACAGTGGAGCCGCAAAAGCAATGGCGAGCCTGTGTTTGAGCAATGGTTAGCATGTGCGTGTTTCTTATAGACAATAGACCTGTCCTATATCTTGTGACTCTCGCATTTCGCCTGCCCTGTTTCTATTTATTATTATATTTATTATTAATCCTATTTCTTCATTACACTGGCAGCGTAGGATTTTGGTAGCGTTGCACGTAGGATTTGGACGGAATTTACAGGAAACTGTCGGCAATAATAGGTGAAAGAAAGTATAGAAACATTAAGCAGTTGGTAGTAAATAGATTTCGTATTTAGTTAGCATTATATCTTATTGAAACGCTTCAAGTGCCTGTGGAAACGATAACCTAGTTATGTGACGCTAGTGCTGCTTTCTACTTTACCTGGCAACGAAAAGACCGGAAATGGCGTTTACTCAGAGACGACGGCCGTAGGAATAGAACGTCGGACAACAGAATGGTAATTGAAAGAGCAGACGGAGGCAGGCTTAGCTCTAATGGTCGTAAAACTTTTATATATACGGATAGACAGTCTCCATCATGCGGTCTTAACTGCAATAGAATTGCACATCATCGCTTTTACAACTGCACTTTGATTTCTCGGGAGATTCGGTTTACGATGTAGATTCTTAACGCAGTCGACACGCCGGTCCCTGCAGTAGGCGAGACACGTTCGCAATGTCGTCAGCATGGATACGAGTCCCCTGGCACATGTACATGCACAAACATTACATTGTAGTCTACGAGAACCGAGCAAGAACAACCCCGCTTGCATGTGCATGCAACACAGACACGCGCACGAGCGCACGCACGGATGCATGCACGCACACTCGCGGAACACGCGCGCACGAATGCACGCACGTGGTAAACTGTTCACACGCGCGCACGTACGTACACGCGTAGCAATTAAGGTGGTAACGTTACAACTTACAGTCACTACATTGTCACTTACATCTACGCCAGCTGATTCCTACCATTACGTACAGATTTTACAAACATGACGATGTAATTCGCAACGACCTTGGCATCTAACCATGAGGCATTGCGTAAAACACAATTGAAGCTTACTGTTTGATATCAGGACAGGGGTAATATAATTAACAGATGTTAATTAATGTTATTCCTGATGATATCAATACATGTTACAATCATACTGACAGCACCTGGCAAGCGACAGGAATGAATCACTGTTCTAAAACAAAGAACGTCTAAATACAGTAAGGCGTCTGGGGCACAGCATGTTACGCGAATAAAAAGAGAATAATCAATAGTTGTACTTGTTATTAGATCTTATCAAGAGCGTATAAATACTTCTTTATACGTTCTTGATCTTATCATCTTAGACTTAGTACTATTCGTTACCTGTCCAGCAGTATCGCACAACTGTAGTCTCACTGGTTGGTTGTCAACGTTTACGATCACTGTAATGAATCAAAGATATTCAGTTAATAATAACTGCCAAGTGAGCAAGTCGGTGAATTAGCAATGATACTGTCGAGCTCAGATTTCGCTAATCTATGCATTTAGCAACTAACCACGCTTACTTTCTATTATTAGGCACTCGAGAATGTCTCGAATGCATTGACGGACAATTACATCTGCGAAATTCGTTCACAAAAGGCTGTGTGATAAATTGTCTAAAATCTTCCTGAGAGGTTGGCGTGAGAAGGTGGCAAACAATTGCGGAGATAAAGCGCTGCTAATGTTTCAGTGACCATCGCGTTGCTTTATTCAGCGAGCTCAGTCAAGCCTGCCGTTTCCCACCCTCTCAGTAGCTAAATCAGGAGGGGAGCGGACCTGCGTTCCCAAAGCTTTCCCACAGTGGAAACGAGGTCACTGCGTATATAGTCGTGTGCAAATGCCTAGTCGAACATCAGCCTATGTAAATGTACAAAGGGCAGTAATCAACAGCCCGACGGGATAAACAATAGGACCGCCACATACTACCCCCTGGAAGATGCAACTATTTGTCTCAACTTTTGCTTGCGCATTGGGCCTGTACGGCGATTCAGTGAACGTGTGTACCGCTTTGCACATATGTCACGCTCTTCAATGACGACGTCTTACTGTGCAAGTAAACAGAGCACATGCGTTGCTGCTTTAATGATTCATGTATTAATTTGTTCCTGTATAACCTACAACATACTATGATACACGTGCACCGTCGTCGAAATTTGCACATCTATGCGCACAGGGTTAGGGTTTGGGGTTTCTGGATTGACTAATAATATGCTGGTAAATGGGGAGAAACTACTTTGAGCTATTGCGCTGGGGGCTGCGATAGTAAGGTTCACTGGGCACAGCCCACGATGACTCACACAATCAACACAGTAGCAATCCACATCCTGAACGTGTATAAAAATGAATGTACAGCAGAAATGACATTCGTGTTGTGTACGGTACGCGTACACGTGTGTTGGCAGTTTTTGGTTAATAATAATATTACAATAACGAGTATCATATATATTCGTATATGAAGAAAATGCGTTTTATCGACACCGCAAATTCCGGCAAATACACAATCACAAATATATCTGCGAAATTATAGATATCTGTGCGCAGCCATGGTTAGGAGGCGTGACTGGCGTGCGTACATGATGATGGCACATCGGTACAAACAAGTGAATACGCCCGTCACTAATCACACTGGTCAGCACTATTACACGTAGTAATGCACGGCAATAATAACTAATATATCAATAGATAATGAATAACATTAATGGTTAATAATAATAAAAAAACATGTGTACTCTCCCCTTCTTGCTTAAAACTTACAAGTTACTACAGTCCATTGGACTACGATTGACGATTGATTGGTTAATTGATGGAAGAATACTCTTGCTAAGATTATGACTGAGGTCATGCAGTAAAATTACTGCAAGAACAGGAGTAGCCTAATAACTATCGTTAATAAAATCCAAAATTAGTAAAATTATGAGTAAATAAAAACAATTTGGTTTTATTTAAACCTGGTAATATTATAGTACAGATACGCCATGCAACAACCATATTCAGACTATTATACTAACCTGACACGCTTGTGGCGCCGTGAAAAACTAGGTCTATGCAGTTATGTAAAACTATTATACTAATAGACATTCACACTTACCCGAGTAGTTATCAAATGCCGTTGGTACATATTCGGTAGGGTAGCCGTTGGTCGTGTAGCTAACCACCAGACTCGTCTTTCCGATTGCCCCATCCCCGACTAATACACATTTCACCCTCGAAGCTCCTTCTGAAGACTGAACGATTGGTTCAGACTCTAGCAGATAGCCAAACGCGTGATGACTCGGGTCAGGCATGTGAGGAGGCATTGCAGTGCAAGACGCCAACTAACATACGAAGACAGTGTATCAACTTGCAAGGTAATAGTACCTGCACGAGATACAAGTTTACAGTCCGATGGGAAATTTTATCCGGCTCATATCCGGCATGGCAGTGTGGTCGATACTAGAAAAATACGACCAGACGATGTATGTATGATGCCTGGCCGCTGGAGTATCCACACCTGTTGATTTTTGTTGTGAAGTATTCCACGGAATAACTCGATATGACGTTAGTACGAATCCTTATTAAGAGCACACGATCACCACAGAAGTCACCGTAAGTGCGATATTCGTCGAATCCAGATTTCGTAGAAATGAGACAACACGAAACATCACAGAACTGTACCAACGTCTGACTGCCGTCTAGATCTCGCCGCGAGCCACTTTGACCAGCGTTGATGCACCTGATTGGCTGGCGTATACTAGTGACGTCAGAAGCAGACGTGATTGGTGAGAAGTTGTGATGAATCATCCTAGTGCCTGTTGTAGGCGTTTGGCCTTATGTTATGATAATACCTGATAATACTAAATGACTGTTTCTTCTTCGATTATTTTTCTAATCACTAATGGACAGCACAGCTCGATTTTTTATATTATTTCCAGCCAAGTAGTGTCGTAATAATTTGCTTAAATACTACTGCGCCACCAAGAAGCATGCAATTTTGTAGTTAATTACATAAATACATGAGCCCCGTAGCAATAATAAACTGAACTATGCGTGAATGTTAGATTTAAAGAATAAATGACAAGAAGGAATAAAAATTGGAAATATGATTAGCGTTATTCTCATAGTAGTGCAAAGTAAATACAATTCGAAGCGGCTTTCGCAGCCGGTTCGGATAGTGAACATACACACACGCGCACACAAACGCGGTCGCGTACACGCACGTATACCAGAGATGCCAACACTTTTCTGAGCAAACTGTAGTGAGGATGTCTGAAATCTGTAGTCCGAGAGTCACGCAGTGACCCGAGTATGCTAGAGGGGGTTCGGGGCATGCCCCCCGGAACATTTTTGATTCCGAGATGCAATTTCCTGCATTTTGGGACCCAGAATGACAGTAAGTTCGCACTGATATTTGCTGCTAAATACATGTAGTTATTTTCAATCATGTTATATCAATGTAACACTAAAAGAAAACACTTGAAATATCATCAAAATGATTTTTTTTCGATCGTAATAAAAATCGTAGTTGCATGCAAACTGGTCGTAGTGGTCAAAATGCAAACGAAATTCGTATAAAATACGGATAAATCGTAGTGGTTGGCATCTCTGGCTATACACCTCTGCAGGCAATGGCACGCAGCGACACGCACGTACAACACGCGTGCACACACAACACACACACACCAACACACACACCACACCCACACACACACACACGACACCACGCACAGCACACACACACGACAGTCACACACACACACACAACACACACACACACACACACACACACACACACACACACACACACACACACACACACACACACACACAACACACACACACACACACACACGACACAAACACACACACACACACACACAACACCACCACACACACACACACACACACACACACACAAAGGGAGAGGGGAGGAAGAGATAGAGAGAGGGAGATAACGTTATCAAACGGAATGCGCCACTGCAATGGACCGGCAAGGAAAAGACAGAGTTTGTAGCATTCGGTACGATAGTATTGTAGCTACTTTCTCAGCAAAAAACGTAGCCTACCCAGAACATTTCGTATGTATTCCAGTACATATGTAGGCACCGTTTATTGAAGCACTAATCACTAGCGTACCTAGCTAGATTCAGTCCATTAGCTGTGGAAGTAGTAGTTAGTCTGAAAGAACTACAAGTGAACGGTATGAGAGTAAACCCTGAATGAATAGGATAATAAGATTACAGCAATATTGATATAAAGAAATGCACCGCAACAAGGCGCGTATATAGAGCGTGGCGCGATGGTGAAATATATTAGCAAATTCGCGGTATCGCATGCAATCAATACCATACACACACACGCACACACGAGGGAAAGCTGTGAATGGACCTGGCATGGGGGGTATAATCCCATATAAGACAGCGCAAAGAAAGCCTGTGTTCCCACACTAATGCCGTTTTTGATCGGCGTTTCAAGCGACTTACAATAGCGTTGACAATACGGAGCAAACTTCGAGCACACACGCATAAGAACGAGTTTGCGAGAACAAAACCGACCGGTTCGGAAACCAATGTGTTTAGCAGCTTGCGCAAGCACGCGTCAGCAAAACATCAGCGGGCACACTTGGAACAAAACAATAGCCAAACGAATGAGCAAGGAAGTGCCAAGTTTATCACTCGGCCCGCATTGTGCCCGAAGCAAGAAAACACACAATGAATCATTAGCCGAAGAATCGCGGGGAAAAATAGCTAAACGATCAAAACAATAGTCGTACCCGTGAGCGACCGGAGAAACGGGAGGTTGCATACTCCGCTACAGTATTGTAGAACACACAGTGGAGCCAGTGGGTGTCCTGACTGTATTGCCTAAGCACACTGTGTTTGCGTAACTTACCGCAATGACGCCACTAAGACGTGAAACGTTTCTAGGGGAGTATGTAAACGTTATCACGACGTCACAGATTGTGAGTGCGCGTGTTAGTTGTATTATTGTGCAGCACTACAACGCTGCCACAGTAGTACCATGAATACACACTCACGAACGCACGTGCACATGCACGCGTGTTTGTGTTTGTGTGTGTGTGTGTGTGTGTGTGTGTGCGTGCGTGCGTGCGTGCGCGCGCGCGTGTGTACGTCGTGGTGCGAGGTCTGTATCGAGTGCTTATCTAATACGGCCGTTCCCCTTTCAGAAGTTCAGAACTCTCAACATACGTCGCATACACAACTACCATGTGCTCGTAACGGCCCAATTCTTATTGTTAAAGTTAAAAGTCTGTTTTGTTTTTTTACAGTACTTATTGTCACCTACTTAACTTCTGAAAAAAATTAACAATAAAAAACGCTACAATGAATTCACAAGCTAGAATGCGACCTAGTAATTTTATCACTTCATCACCAACGTGCCACGCATAACTTTACACGAAACGATACTTATGCGCGCTTGACAGTTAATTTCGATCGCATGTCATTAGAAATCTTACAATACGGAAGCCAATGGGCGCCACTTGTAATATATATATATACGAATACTGCAGTGATGGCTATAGCTGACCGATCTAGCAGGGGCTCTAGCCAAGTAACCATCATCTACTCAATTCCCGGTTTAATACAACCGCGAATTGATTGTCGACTGAATTTTTAGACGAAAGAAGAACCAGACCGCATCGATCCGTCTACTAGTTTTCTTGAAATTTCTAGTCAATCTTGCACGACGAAGCTGCATACAGCGAAGAACCCCAAGGGCTCGCTGGCTAGAGAATAAATCTGCTAAATTTCCTATCATATATCAACCGCAAGTTCAGTGTCGAGTAAATTTTGAACGAGACAAACCGCCGAAGAAGGTCGAATCCACGAAAACTGCCAGTTTTCTTGAAAAAACCGCGCGGAGAATGTCACTTCATCGTTCTATTTCCATCTTCAATGCAGAAGCCGCGAGCTGCTAATCTAGATGGTTTGCTGGTATTTTATAAAGAACGCCACCTCGGGGCTTCTCAACTCACGCGGGAAATCAGAGGACATGTCTACGTCCGCTCCCGCCCTCACTCTCTCTCTCTCTCGCGCGCGCTCTCGCTCTCTCTCTCTTTCTGTCTTTCTCTCGCTCTTTCTCTCTCGCTCGCGCGCGCTCTCTCTCTCCCCCTCTCTCGGCGTGAGAGACTTTTTCTCACTGTATCCATTCGCTCTCTCTCATTCTCTCGCTTTCTCGCCTCATTTCTCAGTGTTTCTCTCTTTCTTGTGTGTGTGTGTGTGTGTGTGTGTGTGTGTGTGTGTGTGTGTGTGTGTGTGTGTGTGTGTGTGTGTGTGTGTGTGTCTCCCACTCGCTCTCTCTCTCTCTCTCTCTCTCTCTCTCTCTCTCTCTCTCTCTCTCTCTCGCTCTCTCTCTCTCTCTCGCTTTCTTTCTCTCTCGCTCGCGCGCGCGCTCTCTTTCCCCCTCTCTCTGTGTCTGTCTCTCTTTCTCTCTGTATCCATTCGCTCTATCTCAATCTCTCTCTCTTTGTCGCTCTCTCCCCCCCTCTCTCTCTCTTTTTCGCTTTCTCGCCTCATTTCTCGGTGTTTCTCTCTATATTGTGTGTCTCCCACTCTCTCTCTCGCGCTCTCTCTCTCTCTCTCTCTCTCTCTCTTGGCAGCAGCCGATGCTCGCGAGGAAGTGACGAACGAGGAAGTGACGAACGAGGAAGCGGGTAACAGCGAGCATCGTGTGTGCGGCTTCTGCCACTGCTATAGCTACCGGCTCGGCGCTTTGACGCGCCGCCGATGTCGGGAGAGAGGGAGGAGCGCGGCGGGAGGAAGCCAGCAGGGATGGACCAGGGAATTCTGGAAGGCGGAGGTCCGGTTGACGAAGAGCAGATGTGGGTTAGGGTGGGGATTACGGGTGGGGTGCGCCCTGACATATTCTTTTAAGAGAAATTATACGACTGGAATCAGATTGATTCTGGACACATATATTCTATTTTGAGAAAATTTCTGGCTTCCCTGGATCCGTCCCTAGTGACGTCAATGCAGCTATTGATAACGTATGGAAGCCGTACAAGGTCACCGGATGCAGGGGGACGGATCCCCAAGGGGTTCCTGTGTGTGACGACCCCCTTTAAGACAAAGAGACCGGTCTTTCTAGCATGTGGTGAAAATTTGTATCAGTTGAGATTTTAGAAATAGTTTTGAATTTATTAAAAATTTAACATATACAGCCCAAATTTATCGAATTGCAACCATACTGTCATAAAATCATCTGTTGGGACGCAAACCTCCCGCTCCACATCCCCAGAAACCCTTCCTTTCAGCATTCCCGGACCCGCCCCTGGGATGCCTACTAGAGCAGGAAGAGATGAAGAGGGAAGTGTTATAACGTTAGTGGACCCCAGCGTGCGAGGATACTGCGCGAAGAGCCATATATATATATATATATATATACATATATATATTAATGAAGCGAAGTACAGCATATGCGGACGCATGCAGGCGACACACACTTCGCACGTAAACGTGACACAACGAAAAACAAATAAACGCAGCGACTACCGCCGCTGTGCGCTGGTGCGTGTACACACGATACAGAACAGAAGCACACACACACACACATACTCACATTCACTCTCTCTCTCTCACACACACGCACGCACGCACGCACACACACGTATACACACACGCACGCACGCACGCACACACACGTATACACACACGCACGCACGCACACACACACACACGGACGCTCACTCACAAAC